TTTATATCAAAATACACGTAGAACGAAATAATATATCTATATACATAAATATATACGTATATATATCACTATATATATATATATATATATATATATATATATATATATATATATATATATATATATATATATATATATACACATATAGATTCACCTACGTATATATATACATATACATATACATATATTAATTCTACATATATATTTATCTAATATTTTTACATAATTAGGTATCTTAATTAATTACAATTAGCTGGACCTGCCTGACAACCCATGCCGAAAATAAAGGGAATTTAATTTGCTAGCACTATATTTAGCCCTATAACTTTCCAAGACACCATAAAACCTGTACATGGGGGGTACTGTTCTACTCGGGAGACTTCGCTGAACACAAATATTAGTGTTTCAAAACAGTAAAATGTATTACAACAATGATATCGCCAGTAAAAGTGAAGTTTTTTGCATTTTTCACGCACAAACAGCACTTACACGGATGATATTATTGCTGCAATACTTTTACTGTTTTGAAACACAAATATTTGTGTTCAGCGAAGTCTCCCGAGTACAACAGTACCCCTCATGTACAGGTTTTATGGTGTTTTCAAAAGTTACAGCGTCAAATATAAGGCTTGTGTTTCATTTTTTCACATTAAAATTCGCCAGATTGGTTACGTTGCCTTCGTGACCCTATGGTAGCCCAAGAATGAAAATTACCCCTATGATGGCATACCATTTGCAATAGTAGACAACCCAAGGTATTGCAAACAGGGTATGTCCAGTCTTTTTTAGTAGTCACAAACACTGGCCAAAATTGGCGTTTTTTGCATTTTTCACACACAAATACTAACGCTAACTTTGGCCAGTGTTTGTGACCAAATGGCTACTAAAAAAGACTGGACATACCCCATTTGCAATACCTTGGGTTGTCTACTATTGCAAATGGTATGCCATTATGGTGTAAATTTCATTCCTGGGCTACTATACAGTCTCAAAGGCAACGTAACCAATCTGGCGAATTTCAATTTCAAATGTAACGTGCTATATTTGACCCTGTAACTTCCCAAAATGCCATAAAACCTGTACATAGGTGGTACTGTCTTACACGTGAGACTTTACTGAATATAAATATGTGTATTTTATTGCAGTAAAAGCAAACAGTATTATGACATTGACAGTTAAAATGTCATGTAGAACTAAAAAAAAAAAATCAAAAAAAAAATCTTATTTTCTCCCATTTTTTTCATATTAAGTTATGTTTCACAGCTAAATATTTGATATTAAATGAAAGCCCTGTTTCCCCTGAATAAAATGATATATAATAAGGGTGGGTGCATTTAATATGAAAGAGGTGAATTACGGTTGGACAGACATGTAGCGCAAATGCCAGGTTTTGTTTTGTTCACAACGTGTACATTTGGCTCAGTCCTTAAGGGGTTAAAGGTACTTATTGCGCACATTGCATGACATGTGCCAGGGAATTGAACCCCTACATTTAATGTCCTATTATATTGATGTAGATAATGCTAACTGGTGTGGTTCAGTTTAGCAGACTGGACTTCTAAATGGCCTCAGGAGGTCTGCATTGTACCCTGCTAGAGCAGTAGAGGTGATTTTATTGCTAAAACTAATAGACAGTGGAATGCTACTCAAACACAGAAGAGTAATCAAAATCCAACAATTCCCACACTGTGGAAATCACTTCTCCAAATTCGTACTATCCCACTCGTGTGCAAAAGGGTTACAGCTAATCATATAGAATTTTACAGCTAATCATATAGAATGTTACAGCTAATCATATAGAATTTTACAGCTAATCATATAGAATGTTACAGCTAATCATATAGAATTTTACAGCTAATCATATAGAATGTTACAGCTAATCATATAGAATTTTACAGCTAATCATATAGAATGTTACAGCTAATCATATAGAATTTTACAGCTAATCATATAGAATGTTACAGCTAATCATATAGAATTTTACAGCTAATCATATAGAATGTTACAGCTAATCATATAGAATTTTACAGCTAATCATATAGAATGTTACAGCTAATCATATAGAATTTTACAGCTAATCATATAGAATGTTACAGCTAATCATATAGAATTTTACAGCTAATCATATAGAATGTTACAGCTAATCATATAGAATTCCAAACCACTGTGTTTTTAAGTGTCATATGTTGTCACAAATCCTCGGATGATATAATCTTAACCCCTTATGGACACAACTTAATCAATTATATTTCCAGCCCAGTGGTTTTATTGGTGTCAATATTCTACCAATTGGTATATGTTCAGCATGGAAATAGTTAATAGAGGTACTTACTGGAAATGCCATCTTGCATCGGGGCGGATATTTGAATGTTAAATAACGAAAAAAAATATATGTAAAATAAAAACCACCACCCTGGGCATGGCACAATCAGGAATGATTAAGTAGATTATAGTTTAGAAAGAAAACAAATAGAAAAAAATATAAGAAAATAAATTCTACACTGATATTTTGTATCAATACTCCGTTCATTGTTTGTCAGTATTTAATCTATTGTACAGCACTGTGGAATATACTGGCAGTTGGAATATATAAATATCAATAATATTACTTTTACAGTAATAAAAAAGGGACCAGAAAACACTCCAAAGTTCAAAATAAAGGTATTTAGAAAAAATAAAATGAATAAGCCTGGTAAAATCTTGTAAAAACAGGCAGATATTAACCCTTTGTTGCTTGGGAGGTGGAGTATCAAATACAGTTTGTGCATAATATCAGATAGAGACAGAATGTCATACTGACAGCTAGTGCTGGCTGTGCTTAAGAATGACAGTCAAAAGTTAGTTATGAGTACTGCAAGCCCTCTAGTGGCAACTTTATAGAATATTTTCACATAAGTTTAAAGACCAGATTTGAGTCAAACAAAACTGTTGAAAAAAAAACAACAAAAAAACAAAAACAACACACATTTTGCTCTAGGTGTCCATCTTCAAAAAAAGGACACAAGAGAATATGAAATGTAAAACAAATTAAATTACAGAGAATTGCTGGCAAACATTTTTTTCACAGCTTTCTACGATATTGCAGCCAATCTCAAATTGATCGACAATACATCCACACAGATTATTTCATGCATTCACATTATATGGCCAATAGCATGTGGACAACTAATTGTTGAGTTTATCCTTACCCATTGCTAAGAAATTTATAAAAACAAGCACATTGCTGCTCAATAAACATAGGCTTTACAATGAGCCATACTGCAAAGCCCAGTGACTTTAAATGTGGCATTATTAGAAGGTGCCATGACTCCTAACATTAAATATCGGCCATGGTCATCCTTAACCAGTATTATTGGGAAGTGAAGAATCAGGCAGCAAAGTGATAGACTATGCGTACTTGGAGAGCTAAATGCTGAAGCCTGTGCAAGTGATCTCCCATCATCTGTTGCATCACTCACTATTGAGTTCCAAACTCTAGGACAAGTACTGTGTGATGGCAGCTTCAGGTCTCGGTTGTCCTCTCTTTTCTCTCTGCCTGGCCTTCTAACCGGGATCTCTCATTACACCGATTGTCTGCTAAATTGGTTTGTCTCTTTTGCATCATTTCTTGCAAAAGGGTGTCAGATGTAGGTGCTTTGGATTTTGATGCCAGATCATATACTCCAGAGGGTGTGACTTTCAATATTTCCAGACGCACTAAGACCTCTATTAAGTCGGTATTGTATCAAAACTTTCCCTTCGTTCCCGTTTTGCCCCAGTTGTGAGCGCTGCGTTGTCCCGATGATTGAAGTGAATTCTGGACCAAGCTGGTATCGACGGTTCTGTTAGGGGAGCCTCTGCCTCATCGATGATGGCATTGGGTGCACGTCTGTAGGACCTTATGTGGATGGCCGATTGGTCGCAGGAGTCAAAGTTTCGTGAATTTTATTTTTAGCCTATTACTCATGTGTTTTCTGCAGTGGTTGATCAGCTTTAAACTTGCAATACGAGCCTTCGTGTTTTGTAATAAAATGACATGATTTCTCTATTACATGACGTAAAGTCATGATTTTATTAATAAAGACATACAGGCGAGTATTGTCCCACCCGTTATGAAGCCATTTCTCAGTTTTCTATTTTTCCCACCTGTATTGTTTGTTATAAGCGATTGGATTAATTGGTATGGTAAGTGGGGCATTGTATTTATGAGGTTTGGTTTTGATTATACCTGTTTAGAGTTTTGGGATGGGCTGTTCGTTATGGGATGTAGATTAATGCCTAAAATAATTCTGGCCTTGTTGTTGGTCTATGGTACAGATTTAACCCTTGGGCTCCTGTTCTTTATGTTTTCACAGCATTATCCGGTCCTGTTGAGGTCTCTTTCATCTACCGGGGGGAGCGTTTTCTTATTGGAGCTGTTCCTTGGATGTTCCGAATTGGTTTTCTGTTGTGGATTAAATGGTCCTGTGTTCTCAATGATTGCCTTCTACGTTTCGTTTGAAACTTCAAGAAAGAGGGAGATCTATGGCTGGTGCCTACTATTATACTGGGACTTGGCTGGTAGTGGCCTATGTTACTATGTATGTTCATTATTTTTTCATTCTGTTTGTATTCTTTACGGCTATTGGTGGACAGTAAAGAAAGGGATATGTGTCTTTAATAAAATCATGACTTTACATCATGTAATAGGAAAATCATGTAATTATACACCGGTAGGAAGGTAAATTAAAAGCTGAAGATGACCCCATTATAAATACATTATATAGAACCTCAGGAGTTACTCATTAAACTGCACCCAGTAGAAAAGTAATATGAGAATTGCAAAATCTAGATTAAAACGAGAGTTGGGATATTTTATATACTCAGTTTGGGTATTTTAACCTAAACAAATTACACTGTCAAATGCCAAAATTCCTGGTTATATATAATATTCCCATTACACATGTTACTATTTACAATCGCGTAGAGCAAACCGGAAATGTCACAAAAAAAGGTTTTAAGACAAAAAGGTGTTCTTTACAGTTTATTTACTTGAAATGTTACAAATGTAGGTAAAAATTATACATTGCTTGGTACACATACAAATACAGAACTTCGTATTAAAACATTTTTATGTACCTGATTTAGAAGGCATTACAGATTAACAATTGGTGATATATGAGATCAAACAATTCAAAAATATGGGCTGAAAAAAATAAATCTATATATTAAGCTCCATAAAGAATAAAAAGGTGCTAAGCTTTAAGACATATTTACTAAACATCCCTGTGCTATTGAACTTGTCACGCATGACATGGTCACTACGTAAGGAAGCTAAAGTACAATATAAAATCTGTAACAAAAAATGAGCCAAACTGCTAGCAAATATATGGATATTTATTGAGATTGCAACCTTTTCTCATCATTGGCATAGAATAGAGATACAAGTTTGTAACACGCAAATGTGCTTGTTGTAGTGGGAGTGCAATGGACAAGGCGCCACATTCAGCACTGTAGACATTCTGTGTGAGAAACATTTAATCTATACATTTGCAACAGTTTTTAATCACAACATATCATGCTGGAGTTGACCTTGTTAACCAAACAATAGACAAGGAGTCTGCTTTAAGGCCACTTTCCCAGCTGTGAAACTGTATGCTAAACCTGTAACGGTTAGATGACAACATTAAAAAGAACAGCAGCATATATGTTAAAATAAAAAAAATTAAAATTAAAAAGAAAATAGGACACAACTGTTAATAAATAGCATATTAGATTATAGTGCATGCAATATTTTATGCTACAAAATAAACTGAATTTAACACAAACACAGACACACACAAGCAAAAACAAACCTTCATAATACAGCTCTATCTACCGACTGGGCAATAAACTTATAAACAAGGCAAAACAACAGCAAAAAGAAGCCGTAAACCAATACTGAGGCTCTTTAAAGACAAACTACTTTCTCCCAGAAAACATTGTTGACAAGATGGTCATTAAATCAGGGTTTTGTGTGTAATACACGAAGGAGCTCAGTATTCCGGGCGTCTCTCACACCGCGGACACTCCACTACCTATGGATTACTTCACCAAGAATCATAATATTAGATTATGTATAAACAAAGATATATGTATCAATTCATTTCATTTTACTTTTTTATACTTTACTAAAGTACCTATAGCCACGGGAAAAATGGTCATTTGCTAGCTGGGAGAAGCAGAACACAGGCTATATTTAAACTTGGTTGGGACTCTGTGAGACTCATCTCTCTGCCCTGGTGGTTTAGATTAATGTGATAAAATTAAAGAGAAAAAAAACCTTCCACCAGCTGCTTCAGAAAGTGGGCATTGTCACACCTTTATTTTTAACTTTTAAACTAAATGGCTCTTAAAAGCTGGAGGAGACCAGACAGTGTTAAGGGAGTGGATGACAGTGCCATTGAGTAAGTGAGAAGTACTCTCTGTAAATTAAAATGTTCGGAAGTAGTAGATATTTCTGCTGTCTTTTCCCAGCTGTGAAGGGTAAAAGTTCACACCATGTTCTCACTTTATAAATAAATATAATTATTATAAAACTAATGTAAAACACCTGAGACATGTACCGTTCTTGATCAAGGGACATTGGTGTCAAGTTTGCTACACAAACTAATACGTACTAATTTATTACTTACACATGTTTAAGGATAGGAGATCCACTTCAAAATTTCTAACAGGGTTTGGGATGTACAAGGAGACCATTTCCCTTGCATGTTAAAAGGCAGTTCAGGGAAAAAGTAGGACATTACTTTTGATATTGAGGAATAGTCGATCTCCAATTCTCCTGTATAAACACATTGTATTATGCCCAAAACACTATGAAGCAACCAGGCCAATGCCTACACACAAAACTTTAAATGAAGACCATAATACTACCAAAAAAAAAATTAATATTTGTATTAATTGAAATTTTTAGGACAATAGCATTCAACAAACTTAATGTAATATTTTTTAAGAGATAAAAAGAAAAAAAAATGTGTCAACTAGTTATTGAGGGGTAGGTCATAATCTGGTAAGAGCAGCAGGTAAGATTTTCTAAATTAATTTGTAAACTTGCTGCACTTTGTGGTTATTTTGCAACCAAACACCGAACGGACAATAAAGTGCAAACTGTAAGGGGTACACATACATGCATTCTCCATGTACACTTACCACAGCCAAACCCTTTAATATGTTACATAGGAAACCTGAATTGAGCATATTACAGCGACTGTCACAGTTTCTGCTTAACTTGCAAAGACCTGCGACTAAGACATTGCCGCTGGGTATCCAGCAGCCCAGGCACGCAGGGAAGAGGACCCAGCGAGATAGTCGATTCCTCCATAGACCAAGGCTTGTCCTCTCAGCAATCACTAGAGACAAAGCTTGACTCTGCCTTTTGTCAAATGGAGGAAAAATACTAAGAGACAAAGTAACCCCTACTTTGTCTTAGTGTATATTTTGATTGTGTTGGAATATCAATGAAATTCCAATACAGCCAATGTGAGCATTTCATAAAGATTTATTCTTTATGTGATATTCAGTTTGGAGTGGGGGAGGTGACAAAACCACTTTACGAAGTTTGCAATTATAAAGAATATTCTGCGTTGTCTAAGACTTGTTTAAATGGGTTGCAAATAATTGCAAAAAACAAAACCTTTTATAAGTTGGATAATAATTTTTTTTTAAATCATGAATTAAAGGAGCACAGAGTGCAAACATGGTGTAGGAGAAGAACTAAGGCAGCCAAGAACCAGCCGTGACTGCTCTGTCTGTGCGACTTTTAAATACACACCGTCCGAAACAGTCAATATAACATTACGATAGATAGTCTATTAAAAGCTTTAGATATTGAGCAGTTTTAAAATCCTAAATATATTCGTCTACGGACATTTTACTTGGAGATTTTACTACCAACTGGTTATGTATCGTACATTCGGTCTTCTAATATAATAGGCATTATTTCAGATTACAATATAAATTTGTATAATATTACTTTAAGAATACAGCAACATAAAAAAAATATTTTAAGAAGCGATAGCAAAAGGTCCCTAACCCATAGGTTGCAGAAGTAAGACAAATTAGTTCTGGATTTAAAAAAAAGTTTCCTGTTCCAAAAACCTACAACTACTGTAGGATTGTCTATTCGTTTACAACACGAATGGCAGAAAAAGAAAATCCCTAGTTTCTGCAAAACTAACATTTCATGATAGTATGGCAGATTTAAACCTGGCACAGCATCATGGGAGCTGTAGTTCTGTAACAGCTGGGGATTCCATCTTTTGGTCACCAATGCTTTACAGTGATCGAGATATACAAATAATCTAACAGGAAACGTATACTGGACCATTCTAATGCGATTTCTCCTGTAAACCACGACAGTCAACTAACGTCTTAACCTATGGTTTCTCAGTCAGCTGGGCAAGTTTCCGCCTGGCTTTTGAGTCAGCATGTAGCACTATATCTAGGCCTGTGGACTGAGCTTTAGGAGTCGACGTGAAGCATGGTTTCTCCTCCTGAATGAGCCGTCCTCTCACAGAAGGTGGCAAGCCCCTAGTGGTTAACAAATGGAAGCCTCCTTTCCCTAACAGGTTCTCCATAGTTTCGGAGTCATCTTCAGACAGAACTGACTCATCGCCCAGGCTGTCTACATCCAAGACAATACTTCTCTGAAAGTTGCTGTTGGCAGCAAGGCTTAGAATAGGGCTGACACAAATAACTGGAAGTTCTTCTTTTTGAGCAGTGCCCTGTCCACAGTCTCCTTTAATGTCTGTGTGGAGTTTTAAACCAGGATCTGGCAAGTGTGGAACAGGTTCAGAGTCCTTTGTGGTATGTGCAATCCCTTCCATGTTTGCACTGAAGTACAGAGTTGCACTATCCCGCACACCGCTTCTACTGCTGGGTGAACTGGCAGCATCCACCTCTTCTTGAGCTCCAAAGACCAACCCACCATCAGCTACGCCAACACCACCTTCACACGGAATTCCGTTAGCAGCCCTTGTTTCAGGCATATCCTCATTTCTAATGTTTTCCAGAGTGACATAGTCAGATTGTTCTTGTGGACTACCTTCCGAACCCACATATTTCTCAGTTTGCATTTTCCCCAAGCACTCCAAGGTGCCAAAAGTTGGAGGCTGTAGCTTTCCATCAACATGTAGCAAAGAAGGCTGACATTCAGTAGCGGCAAACATTCCAAGAAAAGCAGCACTGATTTTTGACATATTCCCAGTTTTCATAGCCAATTTTAAGAACATCCAGTGATGGTGATCATTGGGGAATTCCATCCAAATAGCCAGTTCTTTATTTTTTGCCTCCGATTCTTGGTTTTCAGCCGCCATATGCACTTTCTGAAGTTCTTTATTTCCAAATGCTTTGCCGGTCTCTCTCACAGAAGCACTGTTCCAGTACACAGAGGAGGAGAGAGCAGGTTCATCACTCGTTTCCCTAGCCCTTCTTGACACATGTGCCATTTTACTAAAACTTTGAGAAATTTCTGTGGATTTGGGGTGTAGGAGTGTGTAGAAGACAATTAAAGCAGCACACCCTGTAGGACAAAGAAAATAAAAAAATAATTACAGTAATACACAAACAGTACATGTTAAATATGTTGTTATAAAATTTACTGCATTGTTTGCTACTCAAGAAGCAGACATTGGAAAAAGGGGAAGAAAAAGCCCTTGTCTCGCGCATATAAACGCTTTGAGTATGCGCTGTGGTTGCTATGGGTGGAGAGCAAAGGGACCTCTAGTGGGAGGTCTTTACTCATTTCCCTTGTCAGCCAATGTCTTGGCACGCTTAAGCATTGACTGACAGCTAAGAAGAAAAAAACAAAAAACTATTTTTAAATATGTTTTTCCTCCTAATCTATACATTTGTTAGCAAAATGATTCAGGCATGACATGTGTCCTATAAGAGCTTGCTATTTTACTGTTTTTTTGTTTTTGTTTTGGGCAACGCCAATTTTGTACATACACATACTCTGTGCTCGAATAGCAGATCTTGTTATACAATCTGAGATAATGAAATGGACCCTAGAAGCTTAAGTCCCATTCTTAAGATTTAAGCCAAAAGACAAACTGAACAAATAAAAAATAAACACACATATTTAGGAAGTATAATAGCTCCTAAATGACTGCGTGCGGCTTACAAAAATTTTCAAAGCGGTTATGGGAGAAAGCATTTGTAGCTGCCAAGCAAGGTTAAAAAATAAAAATAAAAAGCAGAGATAGCCATTTAGTTTATGGAATTTTTTTTTTTTTTTAAACAAAATGTTGTATACACTGCAGTTCATGAGATTAACCAGGTGCATTTTAGAACAAAAAAAGGTTTTAAAACATTTATTTTATTGTACACAATCCTTCTATACCTTGGCATTTACATAAACTCTGCCAATTCATAGATCACTCACCAATAAAGAATCCAGACATTACAGTCACAGTTAGCTTAACAATGCTCCCCAGCGCCTCCTGCAGGAAATCTGTAGCTAGCAGCAAGAGAACGCAGTTTTCCACCAGCATAATCTATCGATAACAGGAGGGACTGATTACTTGCAGTCAGAGTTACAGAGCATCAACAGATGTAGGGAATACATTATAACTTGAGCATACAATTAGTGCAAGGCATTTGCCACAGTGAATGTACTTACCGCATAGTATATGGACACACGATAACGTGAACGCCCGTCTTTAATATTAATGAAGCAGAAAACATAGACGGCTCCCATGAAGACGTTAAACAACCTCCAACGGCATGGATTCGAGATAACATCTGTCTGCTGAGCGACAAGCCAGAAAGACATTACCAGCCAATGAGCCCCTAACAAAAAAAAGGAGAGAGAAGGGATACAGGTTAAACTTCAAACAGGTCTATGTACTAAAGTGGACATGTGATAAATGCAATTTCACCTAGAATTGTTAGTAAATGTGTGGTTATGAGTAACTTACAAATAAAGGGGCACTACAGGCACCAGAAGCACAACAACGTAAACACTGCCTTTTCTGACAAAAAGACTGCAGGAGTGATGTACCGCATCTCCATGCTCCCAACAAAGATGCATCTCTAGGAGTAAATGCTGATTGGTGCAGCGTTGCGATTGCCATGCATGAACAATAAGTTCTCAATGTTTTCCTATGGAAAGGCATTGCATTGGCTGAGATCATCAGTGTTGGTGAAAGAAGACTATAGTGTTACTTTAACCTATAATCCAAAGATTGTGCTGATGACATGTTCACTTTCACATGATTATAATCAAAAAATACACACTGTTCTGGCAAAAGTCAGTTCAATTCCTCCACATGCAGAATGGTGTCCAGAAATGGGCATGTATGCCAACATCTCTTAGGTGTATGTTAGACTCTCAGACATAGACACACTCATAGATGCAGTCTTTATCAGGGCTGTATTTGCCACAAGGCAAACAAGGCATTTGACTAAGGCGGCGGCAAAATACCCCGCTCTAAGTGCCCAGGCAAGTACCTTGTTAGCCTCACATTCTGGGTGTGAGCAAGAGGTGGTTGGCTGGCTCACAGAGTAAACGGCGGCGAGTGAGCACAGTCCTCTGAGCTCTTCCTGTTCCCTCGCGCGCCCTGCTATGATCCCATTATATTACATGGCCTGAATTTAGTCGTGCCTAGGGAAGCACAAATCCAAGATACAACACTGGCCGTTATGGTTTTATCAATAGCAAAGAAAGAAAGGAAAACTAAATGTAATGCACTGACTTTTCTCAATTTCATATTAGGAAACACATGAAGCACAGGTCACTAAAGAAAAGAGAAGAATTCTCACCTGCCACGGCAAATACCCAGAACTGATAAACTCTGGAAAACACTGCGAGAGCCATCACTCTTGTGCCAACCATACCCATCCTCCAGAGCAGATGACAGAGCAAGGAAGCCCAAGGCATGGAGAGGTGACCTGGCTTTACGAGGCACAGGAAGCGGCTATAGGATACCAGAGCCCAAGACAGAGACAGGAGGGACGCCAGAGCACTGGTGACTAGAAGAGAAGGCAGCACAATCAGACATACTTTAGCAGAAGCCAACCCTCCAAAACATGCAGAAAACGACAGTTATAAAAACAGCAGCTCAAGTACTAAGCAGTAATACCATTTACAATGGCGTATAACTCTGATCATGTGTTTTGTAGTATAGCAATCCACTTTGTGATGCTGAACAATTGTATAATCCTCTGGGATGTGAAAGGTTCCTTTAAATGAAGTCCTACTTGTAGCTAGGAATCACAGTTTGTCCACCTCTTAATGACTGATGTATGCTCTGCTGTAGGGCAACTGATTTCCTAAGTAAAAGTGATAAGGTTCTAACAACCACCAACGAATTTCCATCTTGTCACCTATAATTTCTGACTTCGGGAGACAGACATGTAGTACTGCCAGCTTTAATTAAGTCTATTGTTTGCTTGACAACTAGAATACACTGACTCTGATTCAAGAACAAAAATAAATTAAAATACATTAAAAAAAACAACAAAAAAAAAACATACCCACACCCAAAGTGTACTGGCATAAGGTCATCTTAGTCATCCCCAAAAGACAGACATAACACAGTGTTCTTTCTGTGCAATATCTAGCAGATCATAAAGTTTTTTTGGCTAACTGTACATAGACAATGGTAGCATCAGTGGTCTTTGGACATTTCCAGATATAACGTATGAAAGGACACATTAGATTTGTATAAACATATTCAGAAAATGAGGAACTATCTGGAGTTTTACAGCAGTTACCGTGTACAGTGACAGTCCCCCTATAGACCTTACCTGCATAAGCATCAGTGTGTTCCAAGGTTAGGTAGATATAGACTTGTAACAGGGAGTGAGGCAGGGCCTGAACGAGTGCTTCCAGGAGTCTGAGCACACACAAATCTCCTTCCTTCATTAAGGACTTTTCCAACTCTGCATTGTCTCCCTGACATTGAGACGTGGATCGAAAACAGTCCACATGTCTGCATAAAGAGAATATACTCAGTACTTTGCATAGATTTTGCAGTCACAGAATACCTCCCTCAATGCTTGACTGCATCCACTCATAGATATATGTGGCGCAAGTCGTGTTTATACGTTCTAGATGCAAAATTTAATCTTCAGCTATGCAAGAGTTATAGGAACACAAACATGTATTCCAGACCCTATAGTGTTAAAATCATCATTTACGTGGCTTGCCCCCCTTTCAAGGCAATAAACGTTACCTTTTTTCTAGCACCACACGGGTCTGCCAGCGATGGCCCCACCCCGACTCATTGGCTGTCATGATCAGAACTGAGGATTTTAGCCAATCCAATCCTTTCTCATAAGGAAAGCATTGGATTGGCTGATATCGGCAAGGAAGCAGGACGAGGTCAAACGCAGGTATGGCCTATCAGCACCGACCCAGGAAGCACCTCCAGTAGCCATCTGAGGAGTGGCTACTGGAGGTGTCCCTAGAGGGCAATATTAACACTGGCTGACTATACTTTTTTTGATAATCAAGCTAAAATTTTAGAAAAACTATTTTTAGAAAAAGGGTATGATAAAAGATTTTTAGAGAAAGCCTATGAACAAGTGAAGGAGAAAAATAGGTTAGAAATATTGAAATATAAAGATAAAAAAAAAAAAAAAAATCAATCAATGAAGAAACATCAAAAACTATCCCTTTAATTTTTGATTTTAATTCTAACAATCATAATCTTCGCAGAATTATTAAGAAAAATTGGCATGTTTTAAGTATAGATGATGCAATACGTCCATTAATAGGGGATCAACCAAAGACTTAGCTTATCAGAGGAGCTAGGAATTTTAAACAAATTCTAACTAATAGTTTCTTAGATAAAGAAAAAACAGAATGCCCTAAGAATTTTTTTAAGAGAACAAAAAGGATTCTTCTATTGTCGGAATTGGAGAGGGTGCAAGATAAGAACTGGGAATAAGAGGAGAATTTTTAAATTTATTTCTTTTAATACTAAAAAAGAATATGAAATAAAGTATTTTATCACTTGCAATACAGTGGATGTTGTGTATATGCTAACCTGTCTTTGTGGACTACAATATGTAGGGAAGACATCACGCCCATTAAGACAAGGATTAGGGAGCATATATACAACATCCAAAGGAAATTCCCCAATCACTGTGTGTCCAAGCATTTCATGGAGCATCATAATGGAGATGCTAGTTGCTTGGAGGTTTTTGCAATAGATCCTTTAAAAATTCATTGGAGAGGTGGAGACAAAGATAGTCTCCTAAGCAAGACCGAAATGAGATGGATTTTTAACTTGGACACACTTACACCGAGGGGGCTGAATGCGGATTTTGAGATAAATACCTATATTTCATTTTAAGGAATTTTTTATGTTTTTTTTTTTTACATAATATTTTATAATATAATTCTTTAAAATGTTATATTCTTATTTATTGAAGAATTTATAATAAATGTATTTAATTTTACCCTAGGCATACATTTTTATATTATCAGTAATAATATAGACTTTTAGGAAATACTCACCTTTTTTCTATCATTTTTATGCATATATAGATGTGTTATATATCAATATGTGTAGAAAATATTTAAAATGAAGTATTGTGCATGATGTTTGCCTGCTGTTTTATACTTGTCTTTATTCCTCCTGTATTACTTTGTTTTTAAATGGATCAATACGTTTTTTATTCTTTTTTTCTCCCACTAATTTTCGTGTGTGTTCTTTTAGGAAGGAGAATCTTCGGTTTTTAATGTATCAAAATATTTAATTAGTTGTAATATTGTCTCTAATTAATAGAACATGATAATATGTATGTTGCACTTTGTAGCAGAGAATTCTCTCTGCAACATCAAAGTCTAATCGGCAGAAGCGAACAGATCCACCCTCCCCCCCGTCATCATGACGAATGCAGAAGTAAAAGAAGGTAACCACGGACGCAAGGATGCCCGGTTGTCGGATGCGTCTAATTTGAAGGGGAGGATCTTATTGCCGATTGGGAAAAGGGCGCGAAAAGGCTCCTATTTAAACTACGAACGGACTGAATGGAGTTACACTTTGATAAAAGCTTCAGCTGAAACGCGTCAGTGTGTGGACAGTGTAATTTGCTGATTTTTATTCTTGCTGCTGTTTTTACTTTGGAAAATAAACCTTTTTTAAATGAAGATCCTGCATCCTGGGTTTCTTGAAAGAAGGGACAAGTAAGCAGTTGGCATTTAACTTCAGCTACCACTATACCATCTGTTCAACGTTCTTAGTCTGAGCCAGCTTTTATTTTAAGTGGCTCAGAAATATGTGAGTTTGTACATTTATTAAATAATATATCAATTATCGGTACGTTATTACCCTATGTTTCTTCTCCTGATTTTGTCTTTTACAGGATTTTAATTGAACATAGGGGTAACAAATGTGTTATTTTATTTTGTGTACTCTCACCATTTCTACTATTTTATTCACTTATTTATGTGTGGTGGAGTGACCCACACAGGTGATTGTAGCACTCTGCTGTTTATTGTGTTTTAACCTATTATACACACTATTTTTATTGTTAATTATATAGAATAAGCTTAAGAACACATGAATGTGGCCCACCGTGTTATCTTTATTATATTGGGGTGCCCTCGATGGAGTAGAAGAGCATAAGAATGGTTATTGGTCAAAATTGGTGACAATTGATAAGTTCAAATAAATACAAATTCAGATTCAAAATTGACACTGAGCACCAATATAGCATTCATGCATTTTGTAGCTTTTTGGCCTACATAGTGCTAACTCTTGTTGCTGCACTGCAGTGCATGTGTCAGCTCACACACATACAGCACTCCCAGATATTAAAGTGGAACGGTTTAGTTAGCCATTACGCTGTGCTAAAATGAAGCATAAGACAGTACCTCTAAGCATATTACTGCATTTATGCCCGATTCGCCCCCTCTGTTTGCAGGAGCTAAAGGACCAAACCATGCATACTAGGACTAGGTGCAATGTTACACATAATTATGCTATTAAGTTGTTTTTTATAAAACTAGTTTTGCTCCATGAACTGGTCCTCTCTGCCCCTGCCTCCTAAGCGTTTGCTCCAGTAACACGGATGTACACGTCACCCGGAATACCCGCAAATGTTTCCGTGGGTTGTGAGGTGAGCCCATGAAATACGTTTTCATAAATATACTGCTGGTAAGGTCCAGAAATTCTGCAGTGGTCAGCAATTGCCATAGAAAGGTATTGATGCATTTGAATTGGATGATCACTTCCTGATCTAGGCAGAACTCACTGCAAGAATTCTGAAGTCTTTGAAGAAATTACAAATGCAGCAACGTCACTTGCATGTTTGTTTAATTTTTTATATATTTAATTTTTCCCCTTTTTGGATTGGATGTTTTCACAGCATTTTTAAAAAGGCAATATTTATAGAACTAGGAAAATAAAAAGAAAAAGGTCCTGTCTGAAATGTACCCTTGTGCACTTTAAAACTATTTTCAGCAAGCCGTATGTGTGCATGCAAGGAGACGGGAGTACTGAACCCAGCAAAGGAGCACAAACTGTTACTAAATTATTTATGAATGTTTTTCAGAAGATCAACCAACCGCTTTTCCTTAAAATCAACCCTTAACAAAATCCTATTATATTGCCAGAATAGTAAAAAGATCACTTATTAGAAGACAAATGACAAAGGCAAATGTGATATACACCATACTGACCACATTCAAAAGTATATCTATATATACAGAAATAAGCCATTTCCGAGGCACCAAACCCCATGCAATATTACAGAATTTATCATTTGTTACACTGAATTTAAAATGTATTATTTAGTAAACTTTTTTTTTTTTTTTAATCTAGAAAGGCAATATGGTAGCACAGGACAGTATAAATAAAACCAACAGGTGTGAACGTTAACAATAAAACACATACAGAAATCTAGGAATAGCTCCAGTCACTTGCAGACATCAATGACTTCGCAAGCAGAAAGCTAAAGTTTATCTACCATGCTCAGCAAGACACCGGACACACGTCAAATGCATAGTGTCAATAAAGTATCCTAAAATAAAACCACCATGCTGCCACGGTCTATTCCTACTGAGGGTTACGTTGTAGAAATTATCTTCAACTAGCAGGCATGACCACAAACCGTTCTGTCCAATGTAACTTCAGAAAATATTCTAATTTCTACCCGCTAAAATGAAAACCTAAACACTCTGGAAATTGTTCATTTGAAGGCAAATTCTTGGATATCAATTAGACAACTATGAGGAATGCAAGGACATTCTGAATAAAATTAAAAAAACAAACAAACAAAAAAAAAAAACACTGCTGCAATAAAATATAAAAACACTTAAAGGGACTCTCCAGTGCCAGGAAAACGGACTGCAGGTCCCCTCTCCCTCCCATCCCCGGTCGCTGAAGGGGTGAAAACCCCTTCAGTCACTTACGAGAGGCAGCGACATGTCCCACGTCGCTGCTTCTTCCTCCGCTGCCGCTCCTCCCCTTCATTACGTGAGCCGGCAGGGGAGACTGATCCCGCCGGCTGGGGAGACCTAATGCGCATGCGCGGCAATGCCGTGCATACGCATTAGACCTCTCCATAGGAACGCATTGAAAATGCTTTTCAATGCTTTCCTATGGGGATTTTAGCGACGCTGGAGGTCCTCACACAGCGTGAAAACGTCCAGCGACACTATAGCACAGAAAACCTGTGCTGTAGACACGGAAGTGCCCTCTAGTGGCTGTCTAGTAGACAGTCACTAAGGGAGCACTTTACCCTGCAAGGTAATTATTACAGTTTATGAAAACTGCAATAATTACAGTTGCAGGGTTAAGGGTAGTGGGAGTTGGCACCCAGACCACTCCAATGGGCAAAAGTGATCTGGGTGCCTGGAGTGTCCCTTTAACAGGGGTCCCAAAGACAAACAAATAACAATGATGGTTAAATAGTGTTTGTAATCTACATGGCAGGAAGACCAGGAGAAGTAACAACCCACAGCAGATTGCATTTTATCTTTAATTCACAAATAAATCCCTTGAATACGTTGCTCTGGTAGTATTCACGTATAGATTTTTTTATTTTTAGTTCATTCACATTGCTAAGTCTCGCCCCTCAAAGTATGTTGGCATTATCAAAGTGACAATAAATAATTAACAATCAGAGGTTCTACTCCAGATACAAGTGTCTCTTTAAGGGAGAGGGGGTTGGGATTAGAGGGCTTCTTCATAAGCAACCATTTGAGAAGTACAGAAAGTTGTGCAAATCCAATCTGAATCCCCATCTGGAAGCACTTTCTGTGCCCTGTAACATGCCAGGATGAGCATGTAAATAAAGCAATGTGTCACTGCGGATACATTCCATAGGGTGAAAGGTCGCAGACATTCCCGCACGATGCACATCAGGTAGCTGATTGTTAATGAAAACCATCAGTGGGAAAAGACAGCAAAATCAATAATATCATTTAAAGAATTGATGCATTAAAACTCGCCAGCTTAGATTGGTGGTTCTCAGTAGCCACCAAGGTAGATACATAATGTCACTAACCTAGTTCTAGGATTCCACCACAATCCCTGGAATAAAAACCAACATATGGCCATTAGAACTGGAATGTGTCTGACTTGGCTGCCACAGTCAGGAATCTCCAGCACGTACATGATTGTACAATGCAGATTGCAAGACTAGTCTGATGGAGATTTATTAATGGCCCTATAATGTATCAGAAACACAAAAATGAATTCTATTCACAAATCCTTGCAAACTTTTTTAATCCCTAGGAGAACACAAAGCTCCTTGTGACACAGCAGCTGGAAACCGAATTACAGTGTTTGGAAAATGTTTTGCAGAAGAGGCCTATGCCCTTTACAGGAAATATGATTCACAGTCTGAATCATATTTCTAACAGGCAACTGCTGAATAACCCTTTGTGCACGGTATGGGGGACCATTTTCCTGATGTGCCATCAGATCAGTGGAGAAAGTGAAACCCTGTTGGTGGGGAAACTGTGTTGGTGACCTCTCTCCAAAGGTTTATTTATGTAAAGCAGACCGAATATCACAATCAGCAGTTCCCTGGGACAGAAAGCCTCCATAGCGCCACTATGAGTCGTCGATTAGAGAGACGGCATTTTATTTACAAGATAGGGAGAAAAAAAGGGGAGTAGCAACAAAAGTCATATTGTGCATCTGGCAGTGAATAGGTTAAAAAAGACTACTTTGTGGATAACTATAAAGGCCTATTTACATTCCACATTAAGTATATACTTATTTGTTTCAGTAATTAATGACTCTCATACAGACTGAATGGTTGAAGGTTTTAGATCATTCTGTTTTTGGCAGTGAAATGGTACATTGCGTAGTTTTTCAGCAGATAAATGCCAATTCAGTCTACATATTCCTTATATAAAAGCACGGGTTTTATTGTAGATTCTGGGAGCAGTGTAACTATGCCAACGTAAGTTAATACCTTACCGCTTCAGAATTCCCAACTGCAAAAAATGGACAAGGCTTAAGGTAAGGCACTGTGAATGTCCGTCTGAGCGGTACCATAAAAAGCTGAGGACTTGGATGAAGCATCCGGGAAGCAGCAGGGCCAATGTCCATCCTGCCCACAGGAGCTGGTCAGAGAGGAAATAATGCAGGATCACAACGCACTCTGAAAAACAAAAGCAGCACGGTCATTTCACACCTCGCTATAAACCCTAAAAAAGAGGAGGCATTCTACGATTATAAACACAACTGGAAAAGGGGACATCTTGATATTTTTGCATTATGTCAAGTGCAGCAGTATTTCTTAAACAAAAACACAGCAGGATGGGAGAAAGGGGCAGAAAGTTTGGACTTATGGAGCAAACCCAACTCACAACCCCATGTCTCCCCCGGTACATATAGCAAAATATTACCTTTAATGCAGTCTGCCGCTGCTGGCTATACCCTGATTTGACTGCTTGGCTGACATCATCAAAAGTGGTATTCTGAGCCAATCACAATGCTTTCACATAGGAAAGCATTGGATTGGCTGAGCTTGTTAAGAAGACAGATCAAGGACAGAGCCAGCACAAGTCAAACACAGCCCTGGCCAATCAGCATCTTCTCATAGAGATGAATTGAATCAATGTATCTCTATGATGAAAGTTCAGAGTCTCCATGCAGAGGGTGGAGACATTGAATGACAGTGATGCACACTCTGCAGCACTTCCCCAGTAAGCACCTCTAGCAGCCATCTGAGGAGTAGCCATTGGCAGTATTCCTAGGCTGTAATGTAAACACTGCATTTTCTCTGAAGAGACCATGTTCACTGCAAAAAGCCTGAAGGGAATGATTCTACTCACCAGAACTACAAAACAAAATGCCTGTCTGACCCAATCACACAAAAAATAAGCAGCCCCCGTCTACTTCATGAATGCAACAAATACATTTCTGACAGGGGTTAAAAAAAAATGTATTTACAAAGAAATCTAAGCATCCAGGACAGCAGGTATAGAGGTTGACAATAGTACAATGTAAGTATCAGTGAGGACACAGATCCATAAAGAAAGATACTCCATGTTCTAGACGCATATTTTATTTTTATGCAAAAAAAACATGCGTAACGATAACAAAATAAGTCCTTTTCCATAACATTTATTGATGATGCAGCTGTAGTGTTTCTACGTTTCCTATTTACCAACAGCCCTGCTCTGGAATTTGACGGGTTATAGGAAAAGACATAAGGAAGGCCTGCCTGTATGTATTTGACTGGCATTTCTCTGCAGGTGTCAAACCAGTTAGGGTGATGAACTCAATCTGAAAATAGGCTGCAGCAATGGTAAAAAAAGTGTTATTCCTGCACTGCTCACTACATGGAAACTCTTTAATAGCATTTACTGGGGACAGGGAACAAATACCGGTAACTGTCACTAAAGAATAATAGCTATACACCAATACCATAACCCACTCGCCCCCCAAAACCCCTCAGTTTTGACCTTGTGCATACATAAAACACAATAAAAGGAACACTACAGCCAGAGGAATGTAACCCCTTAAGGACACATGACATGATTCCCTTTTATTCCAGAAGTTTGGTCCTTAAGGGGTTAAAAGTGCATTCCTTACGCTATAGTATCTGTACCGATTACCTGGGCCAGCCCTGCCAAGTAAAGGGTTACAAAACCCTTTAAACACTTGCATGATTCCAACGCCGATGTCCCTCTGTGTAGGTCAGGATCCTCTTCCGATGTTGGCAATCCGGGGGAACCTAATGTGCGGCGAGCGCCGCTTTGCAAATTAGGTCTTCCACATAGGAAAGCATTGATTCAAGGATTTCCTATGAGGGAATTCAACACAATTGACTTTCTCATGCAAAGCGTGAGGAAATCCAACATCGTTTCACTGCGTCAAACTTTGTGATACTCCAGGAAGCGCCTCTAGTGGCTGTCTGGTAGACTAGAGGCAGTCCTAACCCTTTAATGTAAACCTTGCAGGTTTAAGAGGACAGGCATACTACACCCAGACCACTTGAATGAGATGAAGTGGTCTCGGTGCTTATAGTGTCCATTTAAAGGACCACTATAGGCACCCAGACCACTTCAGCTTAATGAAGTGGTCTGGGTGCCAGGCCCATCTAGGATTAACCCTTTTTTTTTTTAAATAAACATAGCAGTTTCAGAGAAACTGCTATGTTTATAATATGGTTAATCCAGCCTCTAGTGGCTGTCTCTTGACAGCCGCTAGAGGCGCTTGCGTGCTTCTCACTGTGAAAATCACAGTGAGAGGACGCAAGCGTCCATAGGAAAGCATTATAAATGCTTTCCTATGGACTGGCTGAATATGTACGTGGCACCTGCCGCGCATGCGCATTCAGCTGATGACGGCGCTATGGAGGAGGAGAGTCCCCCGCCCGACGCTGGAGAAAGAATAAAGCTTAACCCCTTCCTCTCCCCAGAGCCGGGCGGGAGGGGGTCCCTGAGGATGGTCCTTTAAGACATCATTATACAGTGCAGCCAAGTGCAATGACAGAATTGGATAAATAATCCATGGTTGGGAATAACTGAAAAAGTGGGTTAAAAAGTTCTAAAAGTGGAACTGGCACCGCAGATACATTCCACCTGTTTCCATGGTGACTACTCACATTTTAGAAAGTTTCAGTTTAGTGACACCTTCATAGAGCTCCATCCATTACTGTGAGAAAATTCTCTATTATTTATACAGGACCTCACCTACAGAGTGCCTGGCCTGGACCCCCCAAAATACCTCCTCCATGAGACCCCAAAATAACAGCCAGGATCCCCCATATTACCTCCTCCTTGAGACCCTAAAACAACAGCCAGGATCCCCCAGATTACCTCCTCCTTGAGACCCCAAAACAACAGCCAGGATCCCCCAGACTAAAGCCTGCCGGTAAGGACTACATTGCCCACGATGCTCAGCCAGCCGGTAAGGACTACATTGCCCATGATGCTCAGCCAGACGGTAAGGACTACATTGCCCATGATGCTCAGCCAGACGGTAAGGACTACATTACCCATGGTGCTCAGCCAGTAAGGACTACATTGCCCATGATGCTCAGCCAGTAAGGACTACATTGCCCATGATGCTCAGCCAGTAAGGACTACATTACCCATGATGCTCAGCCAGTAAGGACTACATTACCCATGATGCTCAGCCAGTAAGGACTGCATTGCCCATGATGCTCAGCCAGTAAGGACTGCATTACCCGGCAGTGCTCAGCCAGTATGGGACCCATTTGCCCATGATGCTCAATATGAAAGTGGGACTACATTTGCCCATGATGCTCAGCCAGTAAGGACTACATTGCCCATGATGCTCAGCCAGTAAGGACTACATTGCCCATGATGCTCAGCCAGTAAGGACTACATTACCCATGATGCTCAGCCAGTAAGGACTACATTACCCATGGTGCTCAGCCAGTAAGGACTGCATTGCCCATGATGCTCAGCCAGTAAGGACTACATTACCCATGATGCTCAGCCAGTAAGGACTACATTGCCCATGATGCTCAGCCAGTAAGGACTACATTGCCCATGATGCTCAGCCAGTAAGGACTGCATTGCCCATGATGCTCAGCCAGTAAGGACTACATTACCCATGATGCTCAGCCAGTAAGGACTACATTACCCATGATGCTCAGCCAGTAAGGACTACATTGCCCATGATGCTCAGCCAGTAAGGACTGCATTACCCATGATGCTCAGCCAGTAAGGACTACATTACCCATGATGCTCAGCCAGTAAGGACTACATTGCCCATGATGCTCAGCCAGTATGGACTACATTGCCCATGATGCTCAGCCAGTAAGGACTACATTGCCCATGGTGCTCAGCCAGTAAGGACTACATTACCCATGATGCTCAGCCAGTAAGGACTACATTACCCATGGTGCTCAGCCAGTAAGGACTACATTACCCATGATGCTCAGCCAGTAAGGACTACATTACCCATGGTGCTCAGCCAGTAAGGACTACATTGCCCATGGTGCTCAGCCAGTAAGGACTACATTGCCCATGGTGCTCAGCCAGTAAGGACTACATTACCCATGATGCTCAGCCAGTAAGGACTACATTGCCCATGGTGCTCAGCCAGTAAGGACTGCATTGCCATGGTGCTCAGCCAGTAAGGTTCACATTGCCCATGATGCCGGCCAGTAAGGACTACATTGCCCATGGTGCTTTCGGCCAGTAAGGACTGCATTGTCCATGATGCTCAGCCAGTAAAGGTTCACATTACCCATGGTGCTCAGCCAGTGGGACTACATTACCATGGTGCTCAGCCAGTGGAACTACATTGCCCATGGTGCTCAGCCAGTAAGGACTACATTACCCATGATGCTCAGCCAGTAAGGACTACATTACCATGGTGCTCAGCCAGTAAGGACTACGTACTTATATGGTGCTCAGCCAGTAAGGACTACATTGCCCATGGTGCTCAGCCAGTAAGGACTACATTACCCATGATGCTCAGCCAGTAAGGACTACATTGCCCATGGTGCTCAGCCAGTAAGGACTGCATTGCCCATGATGCTCAGCCAGTAAGGACTACATTACCCATGATGCTCAGCCAGTAAGGACTACATTACCCATGGTGCTCAGCCAGTAAGGACTACATTGCCCATGGTGCTCAGCCAGTAAGGACTACATTGCCCATGATGCTCGGCCAGTAAGGACTACATTGCCCATGGTGCTCGGCCAGTAAGGACTGCATTGTCCATGATGCTCAGCCAGTAAGGACTACATTACCCATGGTGCTCAGCCAGTAAGGACTACATTACCCATGGTGCTCAGCCAGTAAGGACTACATTGCCCATGGTGCTCAGCCAGTAAGGACTACATTACCCATGATGCTCAGCCAGTAAGGACTACATTACCCATGGTGCTCAGCCAGTAAGGACTACATTGCCCATGGTGCTCAGCCAGTAAGGACTACATTGCCCATGGTGCTCAGCCAGTAAGGACTACATTACCCATGATGCTCAGCCAGTAAGGACTACATTGCCCATGGTGCTCAGCCAGTAAGGACTGCATTGCCCATGATGCTCAGCCAGTAAGGACTACATTACCCATGATGCTCGGCCAGTATTACAGTAAGTGTCCGGGTCAGATACTCACCCGCCCCCCTCTCCGCCAGGTACAGCACCAGGGAGACGGCCAGTGCCGCCATGCCCCCCGCCGGTATACGATCACAGAGCACCGAGTCCGGAACCGCATTTCCCGCCGAGCAGACAGACCACGCCCCCATCCATACTCTACACGGAGGGAGCACAGCATGGGGGCGGAGTCACGGCACAGACCACGCCCCCATCCACATTCTACACGGAGAGAGCACAGCATGGGGGTGGGGACACGGCACAGATCCACGCCCCCATCCACACTCTACACGGAGGGAGCACATCATGGGGGCGGAGTCATGGCACAGACCACGCCCCCATCCACACTCTACACGGAGGGAGCACAGCATGGGGGCGGGGTCACGGCACAGACCACGCCCATAGAGCTGTGTGGAGGTTGAATGTGTCTATTTATCTGTGTGTGAGGATGTAGAAAGAGGGAAGTGCTCATGCCATTGTACAGAACACTGGTGAGACCTCACTTGGAGTATTGTACACAGTACTGGAGACCGTATCTTCAGAAGGATATTGATACCTTAGAGAGGGTTCAGAGAAGGGCTACTAAACTGGTTCATGGATTGCGGGATAAAACTTACCAGGAAAGGTTAAAGGATCTTAACATATATAGCTTGGAGGAAAGACGAGACAGGGGGGATATGATAGAAACATTTAAATATATAAAGGGAATCAACACAGTAAAGGAGGAGACTATATTTAAAAGAAGAAAAACTACCACAACAAGAGGACATAGTCTTAAATTAGAGGGACTCCACCAGACACCATCAGCACTGTAGTGCATTACAGCTTGGGTGGGATCCAGCTTCTAGTGGGCAGACCTCTCCTCCAAGAGAGTGTGGCAATATGCTATTAAAATAAAAGAGCATGTGATTATAATTCCATGGGAGCATAGTGATATAGAACTCCTTTGTTGGTAGCCACAACTGGTCTTATATGCAAGTCCCCATGCAAGGAGCACTCCCCCCTGGACCTTAGAGTAGACTGCATTAGAAACAAATACACAATTACATTGGCTCTTAGATCCAGGACACTCCCATACATAATAAGATAATCCCTCCCCTGTGCCTGTGAGATAATTGGCTCGGGAACTGTACTAACTTAATTATCTCCAGACACAAAAACACACATTTCAGCAGTACCCCAAAAGTACCCCTAAAACCCATAGAAACCCCCCAAAAGTTATATCCCCTGATAGCCCCGATCTAGGTGACCAACATATCCAAAGATCACTCAGATCGGTTCAGGGGTTCGAGATTTCGATGGAAGTCACATTTTGACCGATCGCACACGAGCCTCCTGCCCAAAAGAGTTCCATGAAATCAGGCTGTGCGGTCCGTCTCTTTCGGGAGTTCACAAAACAACAATATATACGACTGAAACTGTTCATATGGGCACTTAGTCTGTGTCTCTTGTTCTTCTCAAGTGAATCCAGTCGAGCATATGAAGATATGGAAGTCCCCGACGTGTTCGTGCCGTCGAGTGTCCGATTATAGTTCCATGCACTTGACGACCATGTGTTCGCACATATAAATGACGGCCACCCAGCTAACCACTTAGAACATTTTGGTTAATGAGGTCAATAAGGGTAAAAAGCAGCACACGACTGTTCTGGGTGGTCGGTCTGTTCATTCGGTATACAAACAGCATTAGTCTAATCTGTTCGGTAAGCGCCAGGGCTCGAGTCCTGCAGGAACGCATGGGAATGGCGTTCCTGCACTTTTTCCAAAGCAGGAACGCCGTTCCCGTTACCTGTCCTGCAGGACCGGCCCTGCTACCTGCACAGAGGGGCCATCACATGCTGTGTTCCCTCTCCAGCTATAACTCTCGCGAGACCGCGGCTGTTACCATGGCAACGCTCCGCACAGGCGAGTCTCGCGAGAGTTAGAGCTGGAGAGGGAACACAGCGTGTGATGGCCCCTCTGTGCAGCGGCTGGTTCCCTCCACCGGATCACCAGGCGATCTCCCCCCTCCCTGACAAGGTAAGAAGCAGGGAGGGGGGAATAAACTAAATAAACACATAATGTAAAAAAAATGCTCCCCCCCCCCCACACCCATCATCCAGCACTCACACACCCATCATCCAGCACTCACACACCCATCATCCAGCACTCACAACACATCATACAGCACTCACACACACATCATCCAACACACACACATCATCCAGCACACTCACATCATCCAGCACACTCACACACACATCATCCAGCACTCAAACACACATCATCCAGCACACACACACACATCATCCAGCACTCACACACACATCATCCCGCACTCAAACACACATCATCCCGCACTCAAACACACATCATCCAGCACACACACACATCATCCAGCACACACACACACATCATCCAGCACACACTCACACACACATCATCCAGCACTCACACACACACATCCTCCAGCACACACACACACACACACACATCATCCAGCACTCACACACACATCATCCAGCACACACATCATCCAGCACTCCACACACATCATCCAGCACACACACACACACGCACATCATCCAGCATCTTTTTACACACACATCATCCAGCACTCACACACACACATCATCAGCACTCCGCATCATCCAGCACTCACACACACGTCATCCAGCGCGCACACACACATCATCCAGCACACGCACACACTGCATTCATTATACACACTCTTCACTCACTACAAACACACTACATTCACTATACACCCTCTGCATTCACTATACACACTCTGCATTCATTATGCACATTCTGCACTAACTACACACTACATTCACTATACACACTCTACATTCACTACATACACTGCATTCATTGTACACACTCTGCACTCACTACAAACACACTAAATTAATTATACAATTTGCACTACAAACACACCATTCATTATACACACTCTGCACTTACTACAAACACACTACATTCACTATACACACTCTGCATTCATTATACACACTGCACTCACTACAAAACACTACATTCACTATACACACTGCATTCACTATACACACTGCACTCACTACAAACACACTACATTTATTATACACACTGCACTCACTACAAATACACTACATTTATTATACACACTGCACTCACTACAAATACACTACATTCATTATACACACTCTGCACTCACTAAAAGCACACTGCATTCATTATACACACTCTGCACTCACTACAAATACACTACAATTATTATTCACACTGCACTCACTACAAACACACTACATTTATTATTCATACTCTACATTCACTACAAACACACTACATTCATTATACACACCCTGCACTGCACTATATGCGTAAGGGGCCATGTTTTTTTAAGGGGGGGGGGGTGAGGCGGGAATCTTGGGTGAGTTCCCACACTTTTTTCCACAGGACTTGACCCCTGGTAAGCGCCATATATACCGAACCATATAAGTACAAAAGGCACGAACAGTTTATCATAGGGCCCATAGTCCTGGGGCAGGAGACTGGCAAGCAGGCTCCTCCAAAAGCCTGTGGTGAGGTTCTGTTCGCCACAACATGTAACTCGGCCATCCAAACGACTACATTTCCAACTTATTAAACTGCAGGGGTGTACCGAGACACCCCTCCACCCCTCGGTTCGGAGCCACCAATGAGTTAGAACCTAACAACCAACTGTAAACTCCTACTTACTACGCCATGTAGCTCTCAATTTAAACTTGCCATTCCCCACCATAGCTTGACTACCTAAAGCTCTTGAGCACCCCCCACCACACAAAAACAGGGCAATGGCAATGCCCTCTTGAAAGCCCAGGTTAAGCAGGTCATACTACACATCTGATAGATGTACCCCATCCTGCTCAAAATACCTTGGAATCATACATTCCAGTTCCCGATGTCTCACTGCTACACCCCCTAATCTTCAAACAAATATTGCCATTGTCTTATTGACTTTCCCTCGACAACACCCTACTGTGACCTGATTCCTCGCGTGCCTCCAGTGGAAACGTGGAACCATTTCGGACCAAACTACCACCACACCTGGAAACAGCTCCCGTACACAGCTCCCTCTTCATCCCTTGCACCAATACTCTCTGTGGGACCAGCCCCAAGTCATTATCCCCAGCATGTATTAATAATATATTCAGAGTCACACCCCACTTTGCAAACTACCTGTAATGCTTTGCTGACCTAAACCCCAACCACATCAGTGAAACTTGATCCAGAGGAAAGCCCAGCTGCACTCCAAACTTCCAAACTGCGTCTCTCCTGTGCCTAGTACATGTAAGAGTGGCCCACCAACCAGGCCACCCAACCTAAAATGAAAACAAAATGAATGACATAACATAGATTCCCACCACTTCCCTGACACCAAACCCCATCCTAAACAAGCCAATCCGGCCACAAATAGGTCCTGAACCGTACAGATTCCCACCTACCAATTTGCTTAACCAAACCGGCCCCCAGTCCGAGGTGAGATGCTCAACCGAAAAACCCTAAAAAATTTAAAGCGTGACAGGGCCGACCCATCCTTATAAGATAAAACAATCCATGGGCGAATGTCCAAATATGTACAAGTACATGACACCGGTCATACACCCGATCCCAGCAGTAAATAAAGTGTAATTAAGCAACCCTTCCTGAACACATTGGTCTTAGAGCACCGTAGCCAAATCGACACCCTATTCAAACTTCTGTTTCCTGTACCCGGCCGGACTGAGTGAGCACTTCCTGTCAGTCCGGCCAGGTACAGGAAACGGATGTTCCTGCCAACTCCTGCCAGCCCTGCCGTAAAATGGCACAGCTTTCTGCGCCATCGTCAATTTCATCCAGGTACCCGGATTGGTGGACAAGCAAGCAGACAGAATTGCTCATCGTACTGCTACCACGCTAGGCCTCAGTAAGTCTGATAGGATTTACAGATCCCATCCAAATAACAGAAAAATTGTGAGCATCGGTCAGGAGATTTCTCCCCAACTCGCTTGCCAAGATACAGAAAGCCCTTAGCCAATTCTCAAATGACTTAGGTATCGTCTGATACCGGCTCTGTTTCTCTTTCTCTTCTTTCTTGGAATCTTTCTTATCCTCCTCCTTCAGATCCAAATATTTGTCCAAA